CCTAATTTATAGATGAAATAGACGTATGGCGTAGAACACGTTTATTTTAGTTGTGTAACTGTCAAGGCGCTAAATTATTAAATTCAACTTTTGGTGTGCGATAGACTTACCTCCACGTGGTGCAACGTATACTCATGCGGCAAAAAAGTCTATAAACCGGCAGTTGACTTCTGACTTCAAACTACCATCACCCCACTGTATGTCATTTTCGACCACTTCCACAGTACTCACCTCACCTTTTTTCTACCTTTATGTCTGTCTCTTTTACATCTTTAAAACACTCCTCTGTCCCCCCCCCCTCCTCTCGACTTTTTTCGCTTTGATGTTCCTTCCCCTCTGTGAAACCTGAAGTCAATTAAAGGGCTAATGATAACTATCAAGATGCCTGCCATTTGGTATACATAAATTCGATTTCGGCTACATTGACCATGTCGAGACTATTAAATATTCATTGGCTGAGGTGTCTCTTCACTTGTGACCTCATTTTCTCCCAAACGCGACCAGTATCTCAGCCCCATGTTCCAGAATGTTTGATCGCACAAGCGAATGTTTCCTTCAGCCATGTTAGCGTTGTGTTCTTCTCATCCACATGTTAAAACGGAACAGAGATGGTAACAGAGTGTGTAAATTCGCGATTTTAGCCTTACTCTACTAAGTAAGGCTTAAAGAATCAATAAGCAGATTAATGCCCTGGTAACTGAATTAAACGCAGCGCGCAGTAGGTAACTGAGTTACATCGGTAAGCATAACAAATAAGGCAGTATCGCCTTAACAATTCATTTGTGCTGTCACAGGCTGTCCGTTTGTATACACTTGACTTGATCGATAGTATTTTTAATTTAATTCTACTGTGAGTGAGCATATTTAAGCTTCGTACAAACGTTTCTCGCTTGAGCATCTCCAATATATCACTCCTCTGTCTTGAAAGGCAGATCTAGTGTTGGAAGTAACACTGGCTGTTAATATTAGTACACAGGCATTTTTTCCGTATTTTATCCTCTCTGAAACCGGGTAAATACTTAGGAGGATTGTTGCGCCGTTGTAGGGGCACAAATAATTGTCATTTAATTCGTCAACATCTATTACTTAAAAAAAATGATTTTGATTGAACCCTTTGTTTAGTCAGGCGTTGATAAAAAAAGCTTAAGAGTCGGAGTAATCGAAGTGACACAAAATTCCATTTCAAAAACCCTTGAAGCTATTTTTACCTTGGCATGTTTTTCTTAAATCGCTTTTTGCATTTAATCAACAAAATTGTTTGCTAATTTCTTAATTGCATTTGTCATCACATCTCAACTTGTCGTTTAAGGCCTTTTTTCATGCATGAGAAGTTTTACCAAGGTTGTGCTATTTTTTCTGAGTTCTAAAAGCGGTTTTTTTGCATATACATATTTCTTCATATCCCGATGCGTGTCGTTCTGTAATTTCAAGTAGACTAATTTTAACTTACCTGTTATATTACTTAAAGCAATAGGAATTTAACCACTGGAAGCAATTATCGATCCTAGTACCCAAGGAATGGTAATTCAATCTCTCTCTCTCCCTGAATTATTTCAACCTGAGTGAATTTGTCGAATGCCTTTGCCATGATAGATCGATTATATCAAATTCTATCTTGTCATCCTGTTTGATTAGTCAAAGCGATGACTTTGAGAGCACTTTTTCTACCCTTCATTAATACCTGGTTGCTCATATCTTCATTGAATTTCGTTTGCCAATGTGGTCGATCATAGTAGCATTAAACCTTTGATATCAGACTTGAAATATATACCATCAATGCGCCATAATCCGCGTAACCGACAAACTTACGTATCAGCTAATTCTGTGTCATTTTTCAGTCTCGAAGTCTTTCTCCTTTGGATGCAACTCCACCGAAATGTCCAGCTATCGCATCGACAGACCTTAAATCACCGAAAATTCCTGATCGTATCCTTCCCATAGGTCAAGTTGCATTTATGAGTCCCTTGCATCGGGTGGTGGAAACACCTGATCGTTCTCGTGTCTTCCTATTGGTGAAAAGGACGAGGGGTGAACTACAATTGGTTGACTGGTTATCTGACTACCTACAAGGAAGAATACGGGTTCTTCTTTCCAACAATTCGGTTGGACTAAAAAATATAGGTCATGCTTTGAAGCATCTTGATTGGTGCAAAGTAAGATCTTCACGAATTTTGGAAATGGTTGAGAAGTGCTTAGACCAACCAAGTGAGTGTCAGCATTTACCACTTTTAGTGGTAGTGTAGTCATACTTTTTGTCATTGCCTTTTTCTTTTAGTTGAAAATCAGAAAAATGAATATAATTCTTCTTCGAAGTCAATACAAAGTGAATCTTCGTCCGGGTACCCCTAAAATCTTGATTTTGTAAAGTTCTACTTAAATTGGAATAAGTAGCCATTATTAAAATTCGATGTCTTCTTTCAGGCCTAGCAATTTTTCCAATGAATCATCTCTGGGTAAACTTCGAATAGGAGGCATGAAGCAAACTAATCCCCCGCAAAACAATTTGATCAGAAGTTCTAAAGTTTTCCCATCCCCTCTATTAACTCCAACAGTTCTTTTGAGCAGACATCCTCTCTGCATATTGCCAATGATATCTAAAAGTCGATCCAATGACCAACTCGAATTTGTGAAAAACGCCACCAATGGAACAGGTAGTACCGTACTCTTTCCTTGAATAATTATACCTTAATATCTATTTATAAATGTATTTACTTCTTCAGAGGGCTCGTTTGACCACGTATGCAATAATAGCATTCAAGTTTTTCTACTACCAGAAAGACGGTCAATTCTATGGGCCGCTCAGTTGGTTTCAGTGGTATCGTGGCTTCACGATCATCATATTATGTTAAGGTATTTTCCCCTCCTTCATTCAAATTAATACTCCGTCTAGACATTTAGATAGGTCTAGTGTTTATCTAACCAACCGTGGACAAATTGAAATCGATTACTTTTTCCGTTGGACTGATTCGGATCAGGCAAATGAAGAGGAAAATCCAACGACTTGTGCGCCGGAACTTCTGATTGGTGATTTGTCGTGTGGTTTTCTTTGTTCGAGATCATGGGAGAAATGCGTGGCCTGTGATTGGTGGTCAGTAGGGGTTATTCTCTACGAAGTCTTTACTGGAATTCAACTTACTGAAGCTTATCCTCGTGGATTGTCGTGTAATGAGCCTTTGCAATTACCACCTACACTATCGGCTTATGTTAGAGACTTTTTGTCAAAGGTGAAATTTTATTCTTTGAGAGGATTTCTTCCTCTATTTGAAGTTTAATGTATTTTTGTTCTCTCCTTTAAGCTTCTGAAGCTGAATCCGAACGAACGACTATCTGGGTCCGCTGTGAAAGAGCATCCAGTGTTCTCGTTTGTTGATTGGAATTTTATTGGAGAAAGTGACCTTCAGTAGCCACTGTCGTTTTGTACTTTTATCATATTTAATTGGCTGTGTTATTTTTATGTATTGTGTATTTGTTGTGGTAAAAAAAAATATTTTTGACATTTATATACTTTAATAATTGAATATTGGTAGTTACAAAGTGCTTCCAAGATCGGAAATCCGTTTAAAGCGTGGTCATTTAAACCCACAGAGCTACGTGCACAATAATCAATTGAGTTTTCAATCAAGTCAAGTTGAGTGGTTTGCATTATTATCTTCCTTATCGATTTTTAAATTGGGTTTAAATCTGAGCATCTCTTGAGCGATTCAAAGCAACTTGGCTTATGAATGCACGACCATGGGTTTTATTGCTTGTTCGGATTGCCTTTCATTTATCTTAACTTTCCATGTAAAATGTTTGCTTAAGAACTTGATTTGGCGTGGACTTCTTTGCAAGAGTAGCCTAAAAGCGGACAGCTATTTATTATCATTCCTAAGGCAACCCTGCTCTGTCACTGGAAGCGTATCTCATGATTGAGAACTCTCGAATGAAAGAGCACAAGTCAAAGTTGGAAGTGAAAATGTAACAATTTCAAAGTTCTCGAAAGGTCCATAAGGGTGGAGAACCAGGATAAGGTGAGTACTGTGAAAGTGGTGAAAGTCAACTGCCGATCGATAGACTTTTGCTGCACGAGTATACGTTGCCTAGGGTGCACCACGTGGAAGTAAGTCTATCGCACACCCCCTACCACGAAATATATAAAGTATTATTTCTTGTTTGATTAATGCCAAAATACTATAGAAAGAAAAAATGGTAAATAAATATATATCCAGGGAGCGGAATTTTCAGCTGCACTGGTTATGTTTGGCTAATAAAGGAAATGGTGGAACACAGGATTCCCAATAGGGAGACTCATTATGTTATCCTTTACAAGTATTAGAAGCAATAATAAACGTTTTTTAGATTTTCTTAAAAGCTTGAGAAGCGTTGAGAGGAGGTGAAAAATAGCAGAGACAAATGAAGTATAACCTTTGGTTGAGCTACAAATCCCGCCAACCAGTACTGAAGTACTCTTCCTCGTAGACTAGCGCGGACAGAGTGGATTAGTGAGAGAGTCGATCGAGTGATATACTCAAACACATCACCTTGAGACAGAAGTGGACATTGAGACGAGATGTATGCTATTTCCCATCTCGTGCACCCCTTTCCCATATTTTTCTGCTTTTTGACAAGTTTCGAGATACTTCGACCCATAATCATTGTCTGTGCGTTAATAAGTTCACCATATGGAGTTAGAATAGCTGCTTTATTCCAAAATAAAATTATCAGAAATTGATCTAAGCCTAGTCTTCGAAATGCCATTAAATTTCAGTCATGTCAAATAGTCAAATCTTCGGCTATCAATTTTGACTTTGAAAAATAGTTCACTAGTGTTTATATTGATTCAATTACCGATTTAAGAATAAGTAGAATGGAAGTTTTCTTTCATAATTATCTAAATAATGGAGAACTGAAATATTGATCACATTTAAACATTCTTCATAGCAGTTTATTACCAAGGTGTTGGGTAATACCTATCCGTTGATTTTAATGCATTCGTTAATACATTTCACTTCATTCATTATGGTGTCGACAATTTTAGGTTCCTCGACAGTGATCGATAACGTCATAAGAGTGCCAAAGCGTTTCTCGCATTCAGCATATCGAATGTAAATTGGCCGTGGAATTAAAGCCCCAGACAAGTCACACTGATCAAGTCGATCCACTTTCTCCTCATCCGGTTCCAGTGAAATTAGAACGAATGTTTTCTTCTCTAACATATTGTCAAAATAATCTGCTGCGGATTCTAAATGCTGTATATATCTAAATTTTTCCACCGGATGAAATAAACCTGTTTTTTCCTGTATTACTTTTGTGGGTAAATCCGGTCCATATGCACTTAAAACATTCGCTCCTCCAAAACCTCCAAACAAGTGTTCCCTCTTTGCGTCAAATGAAGGTGGAATTCCCAACTGCTCCTTCTCCTTTCTTTGGCGGACCAATTCACAAAATGTCTCCTTAACGGCGAAGTGCAAAATATAGGGTATTTTAATAGTCTTGGGAGTGGTACTAATTTTAATGTGCTGTTTGTCACTTGGACCAAGTATATACTGTCTCATAATATTTCCAGAGTAATTGGGAAGGGATATCCAATCATGCGAAATACCGCCCATTGTAACCCTTTCATCCATATCACCTGGAAAAGAGGAAGTATGTTCAGGCTTTATATGAGAACAGGGAACAATATCATGACGCCTTGTGGGACAAAAATCTGGCTGGTAGCAACAATTTCTTGAGTTCACTGTCTCGTTAATTTCTTTAGAAATGCCAACCTTCTCAGTTTCTTGAAGAGACACCGCAAGCCTTGCAGGAAGAGATGTAAATCGCTTTCCCTTGTATGAAAGTTCTGGAAACTTCAGGGGTTTCAAGATTTTTGTGTCAAGATGGTTTTCTTTAAACGGTTCGGTGTTTAAATCGTAATTATCGAATGGTTGTATTTCAGTAAGGAAGAATTTCTTATTAGGGATGAGGCTTTCATTTTTTACTTTGGCGCAGAATTTATCTTTGACGTGAGCGAGTATATCGAGAATATTCCATAGAGTGGCTTTCTGGAAATCAGAACAATTACGAGGGAGACGGACAATTATATATGCTGGAGAATTGATGCTTGAAAATGGTTCAGGAAATATGATTTTGTCTGAGCCCCAACAATAAATAGGTGAAAAGGAACGAATAAGAGGATAAATCCAACTGGAGATTCTCACAAAAGGATGAGACGAATGTGGATCGTCTTTTATTTCTGGTATTACTATAGTGAAGGTCTTGTAGCCTAAAAAAGCACCAACATCGCCACTTTTGTTAATCATGTACATATAGCATCCTTGAATTTGTACCACTTCTTTGCCTTCAATAAGTAATTTTGTGTTCATTTTGAAACCCTCTAATGTATTAGTAATTGAAACTTTAGACTTAATGCCAGGACCGCATGGGACCAAAACACGTGTTCAGATTAGGAGATATATACCTACAATATAACTAAACAATCATTTTCAAATTGAAATCCAAGCGAATCTAATAGCGCTTAATATATTCTTCCGAAATAAAAAAGACAAAGATTTAAATTTATAACCTTTAGGACAACAATTCAACGAAAATATTTTCTGGCACAAGGAAAATAAACTTGGATTACTAAACATTAAAAGTTGAAGCATTCAAAGCATCTTAAAATATATAATTTGGAAAATACTGACAGTAAGGTTCTATATTTTCCATAAATGTTTACAAGATCCATCCAAAATTGTAAGACATTTATATTAAAAACCAAGTGGTCAAAATTCACAATAATCGATTTAAGATCAACTCAATTTAACTTAGTAAAATTTTTCACTTTCATTTCTCATATTTTTTCCTCGTATTGATATGCTTAAAAGGCAAAGTAATATAAGTCTTTTTCGGATATCATATCAAGTAACAATCCTGATATTTTGATATTATAAGGTATATTAATGCTCGGTAAATAATGGCCTCCCTCCGCCTAATGCCAACTGAACACTACAGCATTAACTATTCCGGACTTTATATAAAACTATCTCTAGCTACTTTTACACATGAAAGTATTTCTATGTGGGAATTAATAATGAAGTGGGGAGGGGGGGGGGGTAAAATAATGCAACTATATGAAGGTGAGATCCAAATATCAGTCATTTCATCAAAATCAATTTGAAAATATGGAATACGATTCATACTTCTAATATTAATATATGAATTTAGTCTCACTATTTTGTCCCTAATTTTACTAAACTTAGTTGAATAAGTGACTTTTAACTTGTTTATAACAACTACCGAAGTATTTATAGAGGTCTGTAGTCACATACGCTTCAGTTTGGTGATTGCCTGTGTCCACTAGTTTGTCGCTTCGCACACCTTGTAAGCGTATGCAGAACTATAACTAGATATATTCAATGCAATTTTCATTGTACTATCTTGAATTTGTCTATCTAATGTCGCACATTTACGTTTATTAAACCTTTTCATTTGTGTCAGGTCTTGAATTATATTCCTTTCAAAAAATTCATTTTTAATTTCTCGTTTTTCACCAAATTCGTAATAGGAAAATGACTCGCTTTGTTCCTTACTTGCCCGCTGAAAAGCTGAAGGAGTTGAAAGAAAACGCTGAAAAAATTGTTGCTCCAGGCAAAGGTATTCTCGCTGCCGATGAGAGCACTGGTACCATCGGCAAACGTTTCGAAAAAATCTGCCTTGAAAATACCGAAGAAAATCGACGTGCCTATCGTGAATTGCTTTTTACCACTGACCCAGAATTCGCTAACCACATCTCTGGTGTCATTCTTTTCCACGAAACCGTTTACCAGAAGACTAAGGATGGCAAACCGTTCGTTCAACTCCTGAAAGAACGTGGTGTTCTTGCTGGCATCAAGGTAGATCTTGGTGTTGTTCCTCTTGCTGGAACTGCTGATGAATGTACCACTCAAGGCTTGGACAACCTTGCTCAACGCTGCGCTCAGTACTACAAGGATGGTTGCCGTTTCGCCAAATGGCGTTGTGTCCTCAAAATCTCTCCCCACAACCCATCATACCTCGCTATGATTGAGAACGCTAATGTCCTTGCTCGTTACGCCTCCATCTGCCAACAAGCAAGCAGAACAACTTTGTCCCATTTCGATTTTATAATTTCTTTCTGATTACCATAATTTCTGCTTGTAGAACGGCCTTGTGCCAATTGTTGAGCCTGAAGTTCTTCCTGATGGTGATCATGATCTTGAGACCGCTCAGCGTGTTACCGAACAAGTTCTTGCCTTTGTCTACAAGGCTCTCGCTGACCATCACGTCTACCTGGAGGGAACTCTTCTTAAGCCCAATATGGTTACCTGTGGTCAGAGTTGCACAAAGAAGTACACCGTCGAGCAGAACGCTACCGCAACTGTTGAGGCTCTTCAACGGACTGTTCCCGCTGCTGTTCCTGGTAAGCGAACATACCTTTTTTTTCTACGTTGGGTCTCTTAGATATATTCTGAAAATCTACTAATCAATTTATAGGCGTTGTCTTCCTCTCTGGTGGTCAATCCGAACTTGACGCTACCCGCAATTTGAATGCCATCAATCAGCATCCAGGCAAGAAACCATGGGCTCTCACATTTAGCTTTGGCCGTGCTCTCCAGGCCTCTGCTATTGCTGCATGGCAGGGTAAACCCGAAAACATTAAGGCCGGACAAAATGAGTTCTTGCAATTGGCTAAGGCCAATGGTGCTGCCTCTTTGGGCAAATTCTGTGGTGATCTCAAGACCGCTGCTGGTCAAGCATCACTCTTCGTGGCTAACCATGCCTATTAGATCAGATCAGATCAGTCACCTCTGCCATCATTTCTCAAGTCAAATAAAAATCTTATTGCGTTTGTTCTTTGCATGCGCGCATTTCTTTTCTTTTCTTATAATTCTCCACCCTTTATTTGGCGATTCTGTTACTTCCTCTTCTACCATGACTTCCTCCTCTCCCTTCTGACATGTTAATCAGTTCAGGAGAAAAAAATAAATTTGTGGCCATTTTGCAGTGAAGCCATCAACATAGCCCTGTTGTGTTTTTTTTGGTGTCCTAATCGTCTTATGAATGCGTATCATTGTCATTTAACTCATTTTCTAACTTTGGTTTAATGTGGAAAGTTATTTTTTGGTGTATATGATAAACTACTAGATAGAATCAGATTTTCACAGGGCATTGCTAAATGCGTCAGTCTTACATCTTTTAAATATTGAGAAATTCCGATGGAGCTGACATAAGTTCAAGTAGAACATTGAAGTTCTAGTTTTATTCATTCACTCCAATTTAATATATGTCAAATTTTCGGTTAATTTTTATAAGGAATCAAAACCTAGTTAGTTTTGTATATCAAATTTTGGGAAAATCGATAATTTTCATTGGTGAGATTCATGTTTTTTGGCTACTCATATGTTACTTTATTTCAAGAATGTGGAAATTGGGAATTCTATCCTGCTTCCTTTTTGCGGTCCTAATTCCACAAATATGGCCAAACTGCAAGGACTATTTGAATCGAGGATTGGAAAAGGTTCAACCTGTTGTTCTTGGTGGGATGATGAACCTGATCGATGCCAATGCACGTCTTATGGAACCGGTGTTTAGCTTCTTTCGCCTGAAGGTAGCTGATTTGAGTAATAAAGATGACGATGGTACTGGGCCCTTCAAATTACCCCAATGTCTTAAACAACCATTTACGGTCGAAAAATTGGCAAAATATGAGCATCTTTCAATTCTTGGAGTAGTCTTCGATGTCAGTTCAAACCACCAACTATACGGACCAGATGGTCTCTATGCATTATTAACGGGTACTCTTAATAGAACAGTCTTGAACAAAACCTCTTTCTAGGTCGTGACGCAACCCGAATGATTATTTCCGAAGGAATGAAAGACACAGGATCCGATATTTTTGCTCTAGATGCGCTGACATCTTCACAGTTAAATGAATTAGGTGACTGGCTTAAAATATACATGCGTAAATACCGCTGTATTGGTTATCTTCCAGGTGTCTACTGGTCCCCGATGGGAGACCCGTCTGAACTCCTTGTCAACCTCATTGAAGCTTGGAATAAGCACTCCCCAGAGAGTATTGATTTTCATGATCTCCCGCCGTGTAATTCCTTCTTTGATGGAAAAAAGCTCCGTCTTTCCTGCAATCTGTACAGCAGGTGGGATTATCTACTTTTATTTCATTTGCTTTTACGCGCGAATTCTTACCGAGCTTCTATGTCACTTTAGTGATTCTTCAGAGCAATTTTTTCCCCGTCAACTCTTGGAACCGGAAAAAGCGAAAATGAGATGTGCTTGCGTTCCCAAATCCCATCTTACTCATTCCAGATTGAGACTTTACCCCGGCTGCTCGGATATTGCTGATCAATGTCTCATTCCTATTGCTGATGCTGAAAGTATATGGACTGGAAGACTGACATCTTTTGATACCATTTAAGCGACTTTATTCTAACTTGCCCATTTTATACGATAAATAATTTTTAGTATGTACCTTTCAGGCATAATTTTGTACTTTTCTTAAAGGGGTTGTAAGTTAACTGTACTTTATCCTCAGAAGCTCAGAAGAAGTTAGTAATACAGATTTTGGTCTTTTGAAAACAGACTTTGCTGTGTTCAGTGCATGTCTGTAGACAGTTTGGCCTTCGTGCGGCTATGGCGTTTAATAGTCAAGTTTGTATTACCTTTGTCTTTTTGCCACTCCATAAATCCGTCAAATTATCTTAGACTTTTAAACTTTACTTTCGAATGTTGCTAATCCATTGCTTACTATAACATTTTCCCTCAATGGAGTTGTCTTGGAATTGGATTAAAGATATTGGCGGATTTTAGGATTAAATTAAAACCACATGATAAAATCCAGTGGTTTTGTTGTCAAATGATAAAAAATTGCGCTTATTTGAAGAATTTGAACTTAGTCTAATTTGGAGCCTTAACGGAACAAACTAATTCACATCTAGCTAGAAATGACTAATTCGTGAAAGCCTATTTCCAGGCAGAATTATACACGGATCAATAAAGAGAATATATCCACCAAAGTTCGCATATATGTTCTATTGCAAAGGAGGTGAAAGTAGGAAAGATTTCGTTCCTGAATATTTCGGAGCAGGGTTTTTTATCCAAAAAGTGACTGGTCACTTGGCTAATAATTAAACTAAAATTAACACAAGGAAGCAACAATGGAAATTGCCACGATATTATATTTCTAGCTCAGTAGGCACTTACCTCTTGTTCTTGTGTCAGAATTTTGTAGCAACATTACGTCTGATCCAAACGTTATACTAGGTCAAAGCATCTTTAGCCAAAGAATGTTAGAAGTTGAGCAGATAGCACAATCTATATCAAACATATTCAAGTGATGAAATTGTTTTGTAAAGAAATGACAGATGAAATCTTATATTATTAGTTAATTTAGTCTTTGCTACTCACAGAAGACCATGGTGAAGCATAATAGAATCTTTTAATAATATGGGATGCCCACTTATATGTGTTGCTCAAGTTTATTTATATCAAATGGCAGGCGTTTTGATAGTTATCATTAGCCCTTTAGTTGACTTCAGGCTTCGCAGAGAGGAGGAGGAGGAACATCAACGTAATAAAAAATCGAGAGGGGTGGGACAGAAGAGTGTTTCAAGGATATAAAAAAGACAGACACAAAGGTAGAAAAAAGGTGAGGTGAGTACTGTGGAAGTAGTCGAATATGACATACAGTGGGGTGATGGTAGGTTGAAGTCAGAAGTCAACTGCCGGTTAATAGACTTTTTTGCGTATGAGTATGAGGAAGCACCACGTGGAAGTAAGTCTATCGCACACCCTGGAAAGTGATATAAAACATGTACAAATGACCAAACTTTAACTTTCGGCAGAAAAATCACACCACTAACCATCAAATCGGCGTTACATAGTTTCGATTTGCTTGAATGACACGATATGGACTGAAAGTGGCTCAGTAAACAATTTACATAATGGCACCAGCATCAGCTTAAATGCTGGCCCTCCACTTCACCCCTGGTCTGGCTAACTCGCTTTCTAAGGCTGGCAAAGCCGTGTGAAGTTGATTATCGGTGCGGTAAGGCCACCTTCAAACATAAACAATCGATATATCTGGCCAA